CTCAAGGCACTGGCAAAAAACGAGGCTCCAGGAATTGACAAAATATCAATTTTGATATTTCAACAAATGGATGCAGCGCTGGAGGTGCTCATTTGTCTATGCCAAGAAACTTGGAATACAGCTACCCGGCCAACCAACTGGAAGACATGCATATTTGTGTCCATTCCAAAGAAATGTGACCCAACAGAATGTGGAAATTATCAAACAATATCATTAATATCACACACAAGCAAAATTTTGCTGAAGATCATTCAAAAGCAGCTGCAGCAGTACATCAACAGGGAACTGCCAGAAATTCAAGCGCTGATGTCAGGTGGATCTTGGCTGAAAGCAGAGAATACCAGGAAGATGTTTGCCTGTGTTTTATTGACTATGCAAAGGTGTTCAACTCTGTGGATCATAACAAATTATGGATAACATTTCGAAGAATGAGAATTGCAGAAAACTTAATTGTGCACATAAGGCACCTGTATATAGACCAAGAGGAAGCCGTTTGAACAGAACAAGAGGATACTGTGTGGTTTAAAATCAGAAAAGATGTGTGTCAGGGTTGTATCCTTTTACCATACTCATTCAATCTGTATGCTGAGCAAATAATCCAAGAAGCTGGACTATATAAAGAACACGGCATCAGGACTGGAGGAAGACTCTTTAACAACCTGCCATATGCAGATGGCATAACCTTGCTTACTGAAAGTGTACAGGACTTGAAGCACTTACTGATGAAGATCAAAGGCTACAGCCTTCAGTATGGATTTACACCTCAGTATAAACAAAACAAAAATCCTCACAACTGGACCAATAATCAACATCATGATAAACAGAAAAAATACTGAAGTTGTAAAGGATTTCATTTTACTTGGATCCATAATCAACGTCCGTTGAAGCAGCAGTCACGAACTCAAACGACGTATTGCATTGGGAAAATATTCTACAAAAGACCTCTTTAAAGTGTTGAAAAGCCAATATGCCACTTTGAGGACTAACGAGCACCTGACCCAAGCCATGTATTTTCAGTCACCTTGTATGCATGTGAAAGCTGGACAATGAATAAGGAAGACCAAAGAATTGATGCATTTAAAATATGGTGTTGGTGAAGAATATTGAATATACCATGGACTGCCAAAAGAACAAACAAGTCTGTCTTGGAAGAAGTACAGTCAGGGTGCTCCTTTGAAGCGAGGATGGAGAGACTTTATCTCATGTACATTGGACATGTTATCAGGAGGGACCAGTTCTTGGAGAAGGACATCATGCTTGGCAAGGTAGAGGATCAACGAAAAAGAGAAACACCCTCAATGAGATAGACTGACACAGTGGCTGCAACAATGGGCTCAAACATATAAGGATTATGAAGATGGCACAGGACCAGGCAGGGCCGTGTTTCTTTCCATTGTACATAGGGTCACTATGAGTCGGAACCAACTTGACGGCACCTAACAACAAAAACAGCAATATGAAAGTGTTGTGTCTGTGGGTGCTGATGCGAAGGCAGCAAAAGAATTTATTGAAACCTTAGATAAACCAGGTTTTCACACAACGTCCCAATCACAAAACGCCCTATTTCACAGAACATATTGTAGCCGTTAAGCGACGCGTGACTGTATGGTACTTTCTGTTAGTTCTGTAAGTCGTTCATGGGAGTTAGTGAGCCTAAAGGAATAGTGGGAGCCAGAAGATGAAAGTGAGGGAGCCCAAGGAAGGGCTTCCAGGTTAGGAGTAGAAGAAAAATGCAAATTTGTGGCCAGCAGGTTAAAGTGAGAGTGTCACGTGGACTCCCAAACTTGTGGCAGGCGTCTGCTTAGCTGTCAGTCTGAAGGACTGTGTCCTTTTAAGTTGTGAGCTGTGTCCTAGCTCCTAGTGGGTAGGGGCAGAGAGACGAAGTGCCTTATGGGCAGAATTGAGAAACTGGGGACTTGATCAATCTTTGCATTTTGGGGATTGGATTTACATTGATTCTTATCTGAAATATGATTAAATAAATAAAAAAGAATTGAATTATAAAATATGCAAAAGTGCAAGAAGAATGTAGCAGTAGCTTAAATGGGTAAGACGAATTACAACAGAGTTAAAAAATATAGGCATTGTTTAACCTCAATGAATTCCTTCAATAGGATGCATCCAAACAGTTTTCGTTAAAGGAGAATGAACAATGGCACACACATGGGATGAACAATGTGGCATGAACAATGTGGCATGAACAATAATTTTGTTTTTCTAAAACAGCCAGGCAACATTTAAACATGTGCAAATGTATCAGGAGCCCCAAAACCCACACTTACCAAATAACTTCAGGAAGGATGAGGGGCATGATGCAATGAATCGTGTGTATTCATTGATTCAATTAATCATGCATATGTAATGAGGCACCAATCATGACTATGCATTGAGGGCCAATGAATGTTATAAGAGCCCCTGAACATGGAAGTACTTAGGTTTCCTGGATTGGCAAGAGATTTGTATGTCCCTGTTGACAATGGAAGTCTAGTGTCTGGACCTCTCCCAGAGTGAGACTTGTGCATCTCTTATCCTTGGTATCCTTTTGTGGTTATATTAAATTTATTACTGTAAATACAGCCCTTTCTATGAGTTCTGTGAGTAATTCTAGGGAATTATCCAACCTACCAGGGACAGTAAGCCTGCCCAGCCCGGCATTAGCTTATTTGGCGGTATGAATGATAGATTTCTTCTGATTTGTGTCTGTTGAGCTGGGTCAGAGAAAGGCAGCACAGGAAGTTGATTGGAAGAACAGTGTCATTTTATTTGTAAGATCTGACCCAGGTTGGGGTGGTTACAGTCAGAGAGAGAAAATACCATGTGGGTGGCTGGTGTCAGAAATGATTGAGAAGTGGGAAAGTGGGGATGTAAGGTTTTTTCACATTTTGGGAATCTGTCTTGGGTTAATTTTTATACATGTCCACTGTGCTGGTGTCTGAAAGAAGATGATCATTAGTATATTTAATCAATGATGCCACACTGCCCTTGACAGACACTGTGACATTCCACAAAAACCAGAGATACTTTGCAGTGCAATGGGTTGCTCTTCAATATGGCCTTTCTGGCCTTGGGTTTATAATTCTGCCAAAAATGATTGGCTGGACCACAATCTTGCAAGGAATTTGTGGTCTACTATGCAAACTGAGTGATCTGTGAGACCTTCTTTCGTCACTGTGTCAATCCATCTCCTTGAGAGTCTTCTCTTTTGTAGACTCCCTACTTTACCAAGCAGGATGTCCTTCTCCAGGCATTGGTCCCTCCTGATATCACATCGAACGTAAGTGAGATGAAGTCTCACCATTCATGCTTCTAAGGAGCATTCTGGCTATACCTCTTCCAAGACAGATTTGTTCATTCTTCTGGCAGTCCATGATATATTCAATATACTTCGTCAACACCGTAATTTAAATGTGTCAATTCATCTTCGGTCCATGTTATTAATTGTCCAGCTTTCATATGTATATGAAGTGATTGAAAAGGCCATGGCTTAGGTCAAGTGCACCTTGGTCATAAAAGTGACATTTTTGCTTTTTAACACTATAAAGGGGTCTTTTACAATGGATTTGTCCAATGAAATACGTTGTTTGATTTATTGACTACTGCTTCCATGTGCATTGGTTATGTATTCAAGTAAAATGAGATTGTGGACAACTTCAGTATTTTCTCTATTTATCAAGATGTTTCTTATTGGTTCAGTTGTGAAGATTTTTGTTTTCTTTATGTTGAAGTGCAATGAATACTTGTCAAAATGGCATGGGGACAGCATTGACCTCCTGTAAGTCCACAAAGGGGAAGGAGAATCAAAATAAACAGCCCAAGGCTGATTCCTGTGAGGCGGAAGTCAGACATGCCTTCGCTCTCTGCTATCTTTACCAGTTCTGACACCAAACGTCCCTCCCACAGACCTCTCTACTTCTCTGCTGGGTTCGATAATTCATTGCAATGGCCAAACAGAACTCACAGACAATACTCATGATTTTGGGGTTTATTAGGGAAGTATCAGGTTACAATTCACGTTCAAGAATGCTCAGGATACAGTTCTTCCATCAAGACAGCCTATTCTCAGCTATGCTTATAGGAATGCCTCTCTCTGGCCCTCAGCCTCTGCCCTGCTCAGACAAGCGATACAGAGCTCGTTTAGCTCTGCTGATGAGTGCCCAGAGGCACCCAACACTGCCAGTAAGCTTGGACCAAAGGTGCTCAGCTCTAGCTCTGTGGTCGGCTAACCTAGCTCCACCAAGTGCCCAGAGGCACCCTACTCCTCCAGCAAGCCTCCTGCCCAAAGGCACTCATTCTCCAGATCTATGGGCCAAGAAGCCCACCATGCCATCTCCAACTGCCAGTTTCTCCTAGTGCTGTTTCTCTACCACCGCTTCTCACCTACTTAAGTGTTACAGCGCTCTCTCTCTTTCTCTCTCTGTCAGTCTCTTGGTTCCAGGAACTTCTCAGTGCAGGGATCCTGGGTCCAGTGGAAGCTCTCCGCTCTTGGCCCTTCTTCCTTGGTGGTGGTGAGATCCTCTCTTTGTTCTGGAATTTGGTGGTGTGGTTTCTTTTCTAACCATACTACCTCTTAATGATTGTTATGGATTGAATTGTGTCCCCCCCAAACTGTGTGCTGTAAATCCTTAACCTTATGCCTGTGGATATAATTCCATTGGGGAATAGGGATTCCTTTGTTATGTTAATGAGGCCAAGTCAGTGTGTTTAAGACAATCACTTTCTGAGATATAAACGAACATATCTGGCACAGAAGAAAGGTAGGACAAACAGAAGGGAAGATACAGGCCACGTGAAGATCACCAAGGTTCTGAGGAACAGAAGCTGAAAAGAGACAATGACTTTGCCTAGAGCCCACAGAGAAAGAAAGCCTTCCCCTACAGCCGGCGTCCTGATTTTGAACTTCTAGCATCCTAAAGTGCGTGAAAATATTATTTGTGCTTGTTAGAGCCACCCAGTAGTGGTATTTCTTTTATAGCAGCTCTGAGAAACTAACACACCTATGTTCACATCTTGATATATTCCCACATACCTGGATTTTTTGCTGTTTTCTTCTTCTCCACAGTCCAGGGCTCTGTGTCTTTCTTCAAAATAGAGATAATATTCATCTCAGAAGGAGAGATTCCTGTTTATCAGAAAAGAGAATATGATGTGCTGTAGCTTGTGAAGAAAACAATCCAAGCCATTTGTTCAGCTTAGAACATCACAGATGTCTCTGGAAAAGTATTTCAAACGTTCATCCACTGATGGCCCTCTTTGGAATACTTAGGCAATATATTAAAAATGTAGACATCTAGCTCTCTTCCAAGAACTACTCAATCAAAAGCACAGAAGTAAAGCCAGACAATTGGATATATTGAAAGTTGGCCATAAAGTTTTGTGCTTACTTAAGGAATGGAACCAGCAGTGAACTAGAGTGAAACAGGTAGATTATCTGAAGAAAAGTAAAGGCTAAAGTTTTAATGCCATGTTATGAAAGCTTTCATTTCTGAACAACTTCAATCTCTGCCATAAGAACAGAGATTTTAAAGTCTATTCAGCAGAGCAAGGACTTCAAAGAGACTCACAGGGACAATGCAAAGATACACAAGGGCAGATTCCACATGTGGAGGCAAGTTATGCTCACCCAGGGAGACCAGGTTCCTGTAGTTCTCCAACATCACATCCCTGTACAAAGCCCTTTGAGCAGGGTCCAGGCATTCCCAGTCCTGTTGAGAGAATTCTATGGCCACATCCCTGAATGTCAACAGTCCCTAAAAAACAAAATGAAGCAAAACAAAAACTTCCTCTCACAAGTGGAAAAGGGAGAGTTCTTACTTTCACACATGATAAAAGGGGAAAAGTATAGAGATCAAGTTGGGTGATGTGAGAGTTTTGACAGATCTACGTAAGATACTACTGAGCAAGTTATATGTCCCTGATTGTGTTTTATTATACTTTTCCATCAAACCAAAAAAACCAAACCTACTGCTGTCGAGTCAATTATGACTCATAGCAACCCTAAAGGACAGTGTAGAACTGCCCCATAGCGTTTTCCAAGGCTGTAAATCTTTATGGAAGCAGATTCCACATCTTTCTCATACAGAGTTTGTGGGTTTGAACAGCCAACCTTTTGGTTAGCATCTAAGTACTTTAACCACTGTGCCACAAGGGCTCACTGTTCCATCAGAGGATATGAAATCCATTGCATAACTGGGGATTTCATTTTGGTTGACAAAAAAAGAAATAAGCAAATGAAAAGAATTTCCACAGGGTCGTCTATGTATAGGTGCTGGATGTTATATTCTGCAGCGTCTTGCTAGAATCTTTCAAAATATTAACGCAGCATCCTAGATGCAACTATCATGCTACAAGTTGCCCAAACCAGGGGATCCCTCAGACATCTGGAAAGAAGTCCCAGTAGTCAGAATTAACCACTGCAACATTCTTTATAACAATGAAAAATTGTAATGACCCATGTATGCTCATTATGAGAATGTTCTAATGAGGATCTAAAAGAGCAAGCTAGCTGTATGTTTACCAGCATGAAACAATTCCAAGGAATATGGTATAAAAGTTTTCAAAAGCTGAAGAATAAAATATCACAACAACATATTTACTGGAGAAATTTTGGTTAAATCACATCACATGATGATGCCTTTCACCAAGACCTGCACTGACTCTTGCCTCAGAACTGACAAGAGTGGTTCTTGATGGAGGCTGTGAGTGATGGTGGAGGACGTGACAGGGTAGAGAATGTTTACATTTTACTTCCTATCAGCATCACTGTTTATAGTTTTACCACAAAATAAATATATCCATCATGTATGTTTAAAATAAAAGAAATGAAATACTTAATAACAAAGGTAGAATCAATATTTGCTTCCATTCCTACTGATGACAAAGTTCTGTTCCTACCTCTCCACTGAATGAAACTATTTTTATCTAAAAGGCCTGCTGGTAGAGAGTCCCTCAACAAACACCTCAGTCTCCAGGGGATGGCTGTTGTGGGGTTTACTTTAGCTTTACCCAAAAAATTTGGTCTTTGTCTTTGATTTTTGAGAAATAACCTCTAAAACCTTGGATTTTCCCTAATCTTAATTGTCTTTGAGGGCTCCAGACAACATCTAACCTAGCAGGTTATGGAAATGAGGTGACTCTTGGGTGGGGGCTGGACAGGACAGAAAGAACTACCTCATGATATCAACCTTGTGATAGTAACCCCATGATATAAGCCTCATAATATCAACTCAACTCAGAGAACAGGGTCTGGACCTTGAATTACATAATCAGACCCTCAATAAAAGTTCTGGACATTGATGCTCTAGGGGCTCGTTGGTTGGTGAAAAACACTGATGCACACGGGAGGGTACCACATCCTTCTGATATGGAAACACCACATTGGGAACTCTCCCTAACCTCACCCTATGTGTCTCTTCGTTTATATCCTTTTTTTTAATAATACAATTGTAATCGTAAGGATAGTAGGTACCATGAGATCTGTGAGTCATTCTAACAAATTATTGAACCCAAGGTAGTAGTAGGAGACAGCAGGTCAGAAGTGAGGGGAGCTGGGACCCTCTAAACTTATGGGGGATACCCTATTGGTATCAGAGAAGTGAGAACTGGGATTTGATTTTCCATGCATATGTGCTGTGACTGATTTAAAGAATCTTCTACTAGCAGACATGTGGACATGGGAGAGTTCTTTTTTCATGTAAAATGAAAGAGAAGTATAAGGATAAACTAGGTTGATGTGAGTGTTCTTACAGATCCACATAAGATAATGCTAAGTTATATGTCCTGAATTTTGTTTTAGTCTCTCTTTCAAAACCTCTGTTGGGTAAGCTTCTGATATAGCAAGCTCCTTATCAATTTCAAGGCGCGTTCCCCTGCAGTGAGACTACGAACTAACAAATCCCCTAGGTAGGCCACAGACACCTAGTTTGATAGTAATTGACCAATCCCTGCAAGGATTTTACACACCTTATTTGTGTAGTAAACTGTACAATCCCTTTAGAAGATTGTGGCCTGTCATGGATTGAATTGTGTCCCCCCAAAATATGTGTCAACTTGGCTAGGCCATGATTCCCAGTATTGTGTGATTGTTCACCATTTTGTCACGTGATGTCATTTTCCTATGTGCTGTAAATCCTCTATGATGTTAATGAGGTGGGATTAGCAGCAGTTATGTTAATGAGGCAGGACTCAATCTGCAAGACTAGGTTGTGTCTTAAGCCAATCTCTTTTGAGATATAAAAGAGAGAAGTGAGCAGAGAGACATGGGGACCCCATACCACCAAGAAAGCAGTGCTGGGAGCAGAGCACAGTTTTTGGACCCAGGGATCCTGTGCTGAGAAGCTCCTAGACCAGGAGATGATTGATGACAGGACCTTTCCCCAGAACCGACAGAGAGAGAAAGTCTTCCCTGGAGCTGGCACCTGAAATCAGACTTCTAGCCTACTAGACTGTGAGAGAATAAATTTCTGCTTGTTAAAGCCATCCACTTGTGGTATTTCTATTATAACAGTAGATAACTAAGACATGGTCTAGCTAATCATCTTGGCAGAACTATAAAACCAGGGCCATATATAAAGAGAACACATTGTACTGAAGGTGGACACGTGATATTAAGCATTTGTCAAAACCCATAGGACTGTGCAACACAGAGTGAACTCTAATATAAATTATGGACTTTAGTTAATCAAAATGTATGAATATAGTTCATCAGTTGTAACAAATGTACCATAGGAATTCAATATGTTAATAAGATAAACAATGTGCAGGGGGGAGGGAGTATATGGGAACTCTCTGTATTTTGTGCATGGTTTTATATAAACCTAAAACCGCTCTAAAAATAAAATCTATCCTAAAAATGTTCACAATGAGGCTGAGAACTAACATAGAACTACGCCTTTCTGGTCAGATCAGTGTAGTTCAAATTCCAGTTCCGCATATTTGTACCAAAAATAATAAGTGCTGGGACACATCTCACTCTGCCAGCAAGCCTCTGGCTGGAAGGCACTCAGCTCTTGCTCCGTGGGTCAGCATACCCACTGCAGCTGCCTTGCTCTGTGGGCTGGGAAGCCCACCATGCCATCTCGCACCAGTCTCCTGGTTCTGCTGCTGCTGTTTCTCTGTCGCTGCTTCTCACTGTCTCATATCATCTCCAGTGTTATAGCTCTCTGTTTCCTGGGTCCAGGAGGTTCTCAGTGCAGGGACTCTGGGTCTAAAGGACATGCTCCAGTCCTGGCTCTTCTTTCTTTGTGGTAGTGTGGTTCCCCCCTCTGCTCTAGGATTGGCTTGCTGTTTAAACCTAGTGGGATGGCAAAACTGACAAATTCCCTCACTGGGGCTCCATACACCTTATTTGCATGGTCCCACCCCCACATGGGTTCCTTGCACCTTATTTGCATTGTTAGCATGCTATCCAATCCCCTTGGTGGGCTACAAACACCTTATTTGCCTAGTCCCAGCCAATCATTGTGTGGGAATCAAAGCCCATGGCTAGAAGGGCCATATTAAGTAATTCACTGCACCGAAAACACACCCTACACTAATACTATCTCATTAACATAACAAAGTAAGCCCATTCACAAATGGGATTATAACCACAGGTACAGGGGTTAGGATTTACAACACATATTTTTGGGGGACATAATTCAAGCCATAACACTATTCAGTATGTTTATTTTAAATTTTACAACAATAACCTCACACCATTTACCACATAGTAATCACCTGTATGTACCTGGATTCTTTTCTTTTCTGCACATCTGTGTACATCTTCCTGATCCAATCCAAGAGTGTTTAACTTAATAATGACATGTTCTATGTCTGACTTTAAAAGTACCTCTTTCACATATCTCCCTTCTCACAAGTATTTTTTGCCTTCTGACAAAAATGAAAATGCAGAAGAATGTTTAGACCCATTTGTAAATTCCATTGTGTGTTGTGAATGTGATATACTTGAATTTCAGTCTTTCCGATTTGTCATAATATTGAGCCTTCCAACCAAGGAAATTGTAATGGCATTTCTTATTTGGTTTTTTTTAGGTGCTTTTTCTTTCCAATTTCTTCATATTGGTCTTGTAAATTTCTTATAAATTTCCCTCACTTTTATGATATTGTAATATAACCAAGGGGCTTGATTTCCTTTTTTTTATTTTAAAATTTTCTATGTAAGTAAACAAATATATACCTATGAGTCAGAATCGACTCGACCCAGTGGTTTTAGTTTGGTTATAGCTTTTCCCATTTGTTCATTTTCCATATTCTCATGGTTACAAAACAGTAGATTTTCCAATAGTCATGTACCACACAACATCTGTTCAGGCAATGTCTGTCTGACTGCATATACATCCATGGTCACATAATTTTTTTTAAGAGAAAAAAAACCTCTCTTTATTATTTCCCCCTAATGGTTTTAAAGACCCCAAACACAGACTCTTGCCACACTGATGAGCACTGTGCAGCTGGGGATGGCGTGGCTCTGTCTGTGCTGGTGGCTGCTGCTGGCAGACGAGAACATGACTCTGGGGGAGGGGTCTCGGGCTTAGTCAGGCAGGTGGCAGCTTCAGGCCCAGTCTGCTCCTGCTCCTCAAGCGAGCAGAACAGCCAGCTGGGCTGGGCGCCCTCCACTACTTCCTCTCTGTCCACTACTGCTACAGCCCTCTCAGCTGCTGCTGGTACCATTTCTCCAGCCTCCACCAGCACTCCAGCAGCAAAAGCAGGGACAGCAGCAATGACGAGGATGACATTAAGTGAGGCATGATTGTATAGGCTAGGTATGTAGCCATATCATCATTGAATAATGCCAGTACTGTCTCTATCAGACTTTTTAAAATTTCTTCTCCTCTTGTGGTTTTGCCCCGAATGTCCAATACTATGGTGAACTTCTGTAGCCTTAACAGGCGTACTTGTGTCATTGCTGCCCTTAGGGGAATTGCTTCACAATTAGATCATTATTAGGATGTTTACTAGAAGGTGCTTTTACAAGAAGTATTGCTATTTTGCATGTTTTTTTCTCTCCATCATTTTTCCCAAACATACATTTTTTTCTATCTATAAATACAAATAATTATATGAGATCAGCATGTCAGTATATATCAACACAAATCAAAATCCATTTTTTCTGCACTTCCATCCTGGCAACACTTCTTCCTGTGCCCTAAGCATCCAAAGCAAGGTCAGATCTCAAAAGTTA